GAAGATCAGATCTACAACTGGTTTGCCAATTACCGGCGGCGCCAAAGGGCCGGCCTCCTGCGCGCCCGGCCAGCGGCGGGGGACACGTCGGAGGACCCCGGTGCGAGCGGGGGGCGCCTGGAAGCCCCGCAGCCCTCACGCCACCGCCGCCTTGGCCCCGGGAGTGCGGACAGGCCTCAGTGGCCAGGTGAGTGGCCCCAGAGTTCCCGCTTCCTCGTGGTTGGGGGCTGACTTCTGATGCCCCTCCCACGGCACCCTGTGTCTAGGGACAGGCTAGGTAGGATCATTCTGTTCCAGGGACAGTCCCTGTCCCCCAATCCCTGCATTCAGGACTTAACCCTGTAAGGAGCAGGAATTTTGGAGCTGAGGCCCAGCGGGGGCTGTGGCAGCCATTTTGCGTTTAGAGGCTACTGTGTGGCTAGGGCCAGAAATCAGCGAGAGTTGGGAAGTGAGCCAAGCACCGGGATTTAGGTCATTGGTTATGGATTGTCGTCCAGACCAAAGACAGATAAAGGGACGAGTGAAGAATATTGGGAAGGCTCAGTGGTGGCAACCTTTTGCAGCCAGCGGCTGGCACCTGAGCATCACCAAGCTTCCCCTCCCATCTGATGGACTTTCAACAGGAGGCGAGGAAAGGGGTCCTGCACAGCCCACAGAGACCACCACCCAAGGGCCATGGGAGCCTCTTGGCCTGACCTCGGACTTTGCTGGAGATGAGACTATGCCAAAGCAACTGACTCCCAGGTACTGCCTTCCCTGTCGGCCAGGGACCGTCTCCCCGTTCATGCCCCACCCCACCCCCACAGTAGGAAACCAGGCCTGGAGTGGGGTGGGAATGGGAATGTTGGGGTCAACACAGCCCAGGCCATTGATGGCTGGGAGCAGAAATAGCTGTGACCCAGGGTTGGGGAGCCACTGGCAAGGAGCCCATGTCAAGGACACTACACTTGCTCATGGAGCCTGGCTCATAGCCTGACTTCATGTACATCCCGGAGAATGCAGAAAACAGACTTAGAAAAATGTATACACTTACCTCCTAAAGGCAAACCCAGCTGTCGTGGTTTGTTTATTTCAATGAGTTGAGAACAGCCAACTTTTCCTGAGTTCCTACTGTGTACCAGGCGCTGTCCAAGCACTTTGCTCACCCTTTGCTCCTGCGATAAGGCACCAACCTGACGTAAGGGCGGGACAGGTGCTGGCCAGCAGCAGACCAAGTCTGAACACGGGGCCAGGCCCAGAGCCTGTGTAACTGGCAAGCTGTACACCCTCGTTCCATCTATGGTTGTGACGTCAGCATCTTCAGTGAGAACATCTGGGCCAACACCACTGAGGTGTGTGTGTCTTTAGGCAGGTTTCTGTGACCTCTCAGTGCCTAGCTTTTCTCACCTGTGAAATAGGGACAGGTATAGGATCTGCCATGCAGGTTGTCGCAGAAATTGCTGGGGCGGGGTCGGGGCGTGGTGGTCATTGTTAACAAAAGCGCAGAAACACCATCTGAGACACTGTGAGCATTTGTGGAATATTAATTTTTAAAATTATTATCAAGTGTTGCCTTGTATTCCTTTAAGATCAAGTTACTTTTTCACTCTACTGTTAGGCGCTCTCTGATCATTTTTAGCTTTCAGAGCTGCAGAACAGCGCTTCGCGGAAGGTTCTCGTAGAGAAACTGCTAACGTGTCTTAGGTTTCCAGTAATAATGTTTTCAAGCGTCTCTAGAACCTCATCAGCCACTGGGAGAGCAGTGATGGCAGGGGGACAGGCTGGGGCAGGCCCGCAGTGTCAGTGGCTGAGCCGAGTCGGGTCCCAGGACCCAGTGCCCTGGCCTGTGGGAGCTTCTGCCCACCAAGGGACAGTGCTTGCTGTGTTTCCCAGGTCTCTGCAGGGTGGTGAGATGTACCAGGAGGGGCCTGGCCACGATCCGGCCACTCTCCCCACCGTCTGCCCTGGTCCTGGCCTCTGCCCTCTGGCCGTCGGTGGCAACAAGCCGGGCCCTAGGTCGTGGCCGGTGTCGCTTGCACTGGCACCCTCCAAGGAAATTCCCTTTCGGACTGGTCAGCTGGGCCACAGCCCGGGGCTGGACTTCCTGATGCACCCTGGAGACGCCGCCATGGCCGTGTCCGTCGCCACCCTGGCTGAGCCCAGGCCCACAGGTGGGTTCACTCCAGGTAGACACCGAGGTTCCTCACCGGGTCTCTGAGGTCACGGGGTGGGAGGGGCAGGACTTCCCGCTTGAATCCTGTGTGTTTGCTCAGAGCCAGAACCGCGGTACCAGGACCGAGGCTTTCCCCACAAACATCCCAGATAATATTTCTCGTTTATTTTATTTGTCAAAATAAAATAGACGCATGACAAGAAAAGAGTTAAAGTGGAATGAAGCAGCAGCCACCCCGCACTCTGCAGTCCACACGCCTAACTTGCCTGCCAGCACCTGCTGTGACAGGGTCGACAGGGTCGAGGGCCGTAGGCCCCCAGCCCTCCCCCACCCTCGTCCTCTGAGGGAGCTGCTGTGATTTTAGTTTCATAAATAGCCTTAAATAACATACGTTGTGATGTACGTATCTCATCCAGCCACACAGCAGCGTCTTGTGACATCCCGCCTCGCAGGGAAGATACACGGAATCCAGCCTGTCACCCGCATCTCGGAGTCTTCCGTGTTCGTGTCCGTGTTTTCTTGGAGCTTCTAACTGCCTTTCTCCTCATGGTGCTGGCTTTTTCACACGCCTACCTTCCCCCCGTGTTTCAAATGTCCCCTCCGAGGGCTTGCTGCTGGGAGCCCTCTCCTTCCCGTTCCCGTCCAAGGCCTGGGTGAGGCTGTCACCCCCAGATCCTCTTTTATCACTTCCCTGGGTTCGCTGCAGTGTTTCCTGAATGACAGGTCTGTCGACATCTTCGTTACGTTAGAGGGTGTCTTCAATTAACTTTGTAGTAAAGGGTATCTGCAAAGTCAATGTTCTGATAAATATTCTCAAGTTGTCTTTAATCTGTCCTCACATTTGACTTACGGTTTGGCAGGGACAGAATTCTGAATTTAAAATACTTTGCTCCTTAGAAATCTGAAGATATTGTATCATTGTAGCCTCCAGTGTTGTTGAAAAGTCACATGTTCACTTCGATGTTTAGCCCTTTACAGATCACCTATTTTTCCTTTCTTGGAGCTTTTTAAAAATTAAATGTGTTGAGGTAACATTGGTTAGTAACATAAGTTTTAGGTGCGGCATCATAACTTGGTCTCTGTGCAGTCAGCTGCGTGCTCAACACCAAAAGTCTCCTTCCTTTTGTCACCGCGTATTTGACCCCCTTTACCCGGTTCGTTCTCCTCACCCCCTTTCCCTGGCGACCGCCATTCTGTCATCTGTATCTTGAGTATTTGTTTTGTTTTGTTAGTTCGTTTGTAACTTTTTTGTTTTACGTTCCAGCCTTGGATGAATGGATAAAGCTGAAAAAGGAACTTTTTTTAAAGTCTTGTGTTCTGAAATTTAAGTATTCCTAGGTGTGAGTCTTTTTAATTCACCTTATCGTTAAGCCTTTGGATTTAAAACAAGAGAACAAGTTCTCTCGGCTCTGGGCACGTCTTGTCCTGGTCTTCGGTAGTTTCTTTGATAATTTGCCACGCTCAGTTCTCTCTTAGAGCACAAACATTCTTTGGATGTTGGAGATCCTGGACCGTCTCCCAAAATGCTTACCTTGTGTCCTATGTTTTCTTTTCTTTATTTATGTGCTTTCAAGGGTTTTGTCTTCCAGTATTTTATTTTGACAATTATACATTTTAAGAGAATTTCAAGCTCTCTTTTTTCATTCTCATTCTGGCCCTTCCGCTGGTAGGGAAGGGTGAGGGCGCAGACACCTGCTTTCCGGAAGCAGCTTTTCAGTTCGATCACATTGGCCTTCATTTCTCGCTGTCCATTTTTTTCACTGTCAGAGACTCGTGTTTGCTTGTCGTAGATACCGGCAAGGCTGGAGCGGGGCAGTCGCTGACCCACCTCCCCCTGGAACCAGGGAAGGTGGTCTTCACCCCTCTGAGAACGGGCGAGTGCCCTGCTGACCGCCTGAGCCTCGGGGTTTGACTCTGCTCCCTTCACTGCTCCCGCCCTCCACTCCAGCTCCTCGGGGTACTCGGCCTCTGATCTGCCCGCCCTGCTGGGACTGGCCTCGTGCCCGAGTCTGCAGGACTGGACATTGCCCCCCTGCTGGTTATCCTGCACGACACTGCCTCAGTTCTGTGACTGTGGCTTTTCTCTTGGAAGATGCAGATAAACCTGTCGATTTGTTATGTTTGAAACAGAAATGCTCGAATTAAAATTAGCATTTAAGCTGTAGTTCACGTACCTCAGAGCAGCTTGAAAGTCCCGCAGGAAGGAGGAAGCAGCAGAAAGCAGACAGCTGGGGTGGTCCTCGGATCGGAGCAGGTGTGGACGGCCGGCTGCAGGGCAGGTGGTCACTCCAGCAGACTGTAGGGAGGACGGGGGGGCCTGGGGCGGCTGGCCTGTTCGAGGGTCTGAGATCAGACTCTTAGGTGAGCCCACTGCCCGGCTGACCCGGGACACGGGCCTCCCTCTCAGCCCGCCTTGCTCCTAAATGTCTGTGGACCCAGAGCCGTTCTGATCCTTTAAGAGCAAAAGATAGTCTGAGATGCTCTGTGAGACATTTTAAGCAGAGAAAAAGAACAGAGAAGGTGGCGACACCTTGTTCCTCAGTGGAATGATGGCGACACCTAAGTTAAAAGGTGAAAATGGCAGAGAAGTGGGTCGCCCGCGCCCCACCCTCCCACGGCAGCGGTGGGGGTGGGGATGACGTCAGGTCCAGAAGGACAAAGCAACATTTGGCTTCGTTTTGGCCTCTGGAGGCCTGAAGAGGTCGTGGAGACGGCTGTCGCTCGGTGACGGAGGCCGAGGCCCCGGGCGGCCGGGCTGGACTCTGCCGCCTGCAGGCCTCGGCCGTGCCGCACGCGGGCCGTGCGCCTCCCTCTCACGCTGGGTTCTGGGGTCTCTTCCTGTGCAGGATTCTCTGACCCAGCCGTCAGTGACCCCCAGAGCACATACCTGGAGGAGGGTCCGGGCGCCAGCATTAGCCAGACACAGGGACAGGTGGGCAGCTTTCTGGTGACACCGCCACCACCGCAGGCTCCCGAGTTCTCCCAGAGGTAAGCCCGGCAGGGCCGCAGGGAGGCGCGCCTGAGTCAGCACCAGGGAGGCGCCGCACGCCGAGTCCCTGGCAGTTTTCCCCTCAGACAGGAAGCGCGCCTGGGAATGTCAGCGTGGACGCGGAGTCTGCCTCTTCCCTGAGGCCGCCCTGGGCCCCAGCAGCCTCTTTCTGGCATTTTCTTTTCCCCAGTCAAAGCCTGTGAGAGTTTCTGAGCAGCGTAAAGATCTGGGTTTTGTATTCCAAAGTGCAGTTGTGACGGGCTCGGGAGGGCCGTGGACAGGCCAGGTGCTGCGGGCAGTGGCGTGGGGGCCGGGATGGCAGCCTAGGATGGCAGCCCAAGATACCAGGGGTGGAGGAGGGATGGAGGAGGAGATAGGTCGGGGCTCTGGTGCAGAGGGAATCTGCGATACCGGCCCCCAGGACCAGGTCTGAGGGTTTGGGGTCTCCCGAATTTGGTAGCTGAAGGCCGCTTGCCCAGTGAGGGCAGCATTCCTGGGGGACGTGTGAGGTGGGGGTCGCGGGCTCCGCGCGCTAAGACAGCGGGTGGTGAGGGAATGCAGACCGTGCAGCTGGACTCACTTTTCTGTGCATGGCCAGGAGCTGGGATGGAGCAGATGGCACCACGGGGCCTCCTGCCGGCTTGCCCGGCCTCCCCCAGGTGGTCTGATGCTTGAACTCTGAAGCCACAGCCCGTCCGTGTGCTAATACGATGACCCTGATGCCTTTTTCAAAAACAGCTTAGTTGTGGGTAATTGGCTCCCAGGGAGCCAACATGTTTAGACTGTACAAATGACAGTTCTGAGTGTGAATTTCGTACCCACCACAGAGCCATAACCGAGCTGAAGGCTGCGAAGGCTCCTCTCCTTGGCCCCCCGCCCCCTACCCTCAGGGCCACAGACCTGCTTTCTTTAGCCGCATTTTCTAGAATGTCACAGAAATGTCATACAGCAGGGTATTTTTTTTGGCCTGGCTTCTCTCGCTGAGCCTGACAGCTGCTCTGCTGATTTGTCCCCGCTGCTGCGTGTGGCAGTCAGTGCCTCTTTACGGCCAAGTCCTGTCCCTCGGTGAGGAGGGAGCGGTGCGTTGACCTGTCTGTCACCTGTTGGGCACATGTACCCGGACACATGTCGTCTGCACATGTCATGTCTGTGATGTCTGCACATAAGGGCGGAATGGCTGGGTCACAGGGCAGGTGCGTGATTGTCTTTTAAGGAACTGCCGGACAGTTGTCCCTAGTGGCTGCACCTGTTGTGATCCTAAGGGCCTCTCGTGCCCTTCGTCCTCCAGGCCTGTCCCCTTCCGTGTGACCTTGTCCTTCACGTTTCTACTCGCCAGCCCTTCTCTGTGAGCCTGCTCTGATGCTCTCCGATGCCCCCGAGCCATGTGCTGAGGCGTCACACAGGCCCCTCAGGCAGCCTGTGTACCTGAGGAGCCCGTCCTGAAGAGTGTCCATCACCTCGAAGGGCTCCCGCCATGCAGAGTGCCCAGGGCGTGCTCCTCACGGGTGGACAATGTGGCCTGGTACCCCCTTGAGACGTGTCCTGACATAGTCCCTTTTCCAGTGTCCCGGAGCTGGCACCAGCCCCATCCGCCTTCCCCGGCCCTGTGTCTGCTGTGGAGCCGAGCCAGCCCCTGCCCTCCAGCCAGGTGAGGCTTCCTCCCTACGTCCTGGGTCAGCTCAGGAGTGGACCAGCCACAGGAGATGAACAGGGGTGGGGAGGCCTCGAGGCCTGATGTCAGTGGAACTGGAGTCGGGAGGGGCGGGGAGGGGCTGAGGGGGTTTTTCGTGAGACAGTTTCTTACTGAATCCGGAGGGGGTGGGTCCCAGGGTGAGGAGGCGGAGCCAGGTGGGGGTTGCCTTCCTGTGTAATGCTGTGTTGGCTTTCCAGGTGCAGTGGCCCAACAGCCAGGCCTCCAGTGATGCCTTCTGGGGGGCCAGGATGCTCCTGGAACTTTCGGGGGGCAGCCTGGGCTGAGCTGTCTCTCAGGAGACAGGCCAGTGCCCCGGGGAGCGATGTGCACATCGACCAGTCAAGACAACTTACAGTTTTATCTCAGCTGAAGAAAGGAGGTCCCCAAGTTCCCTGGGCGGTGGGTCGGGGGTCCGCTGAGAGGTCCTGGTGGCTGCTGGGTCCTGGGAATGTTTAGGTAGTTTGGTTGGCACTCCTGGCACGGAGGAAGCATTTGGGAAATGTTCATGGGGTCAGAAGCCAAAGGGGGCCGTCCCGCTCGGGAGCAGGTTGCGGCTGTCAAGGCCTTTCTGGAGACAGGAGAGTGTCCCGCTGCCGGCCACCCTCCCACCTGCCCTTGGACAGGGCTGAACGGACCCTCCCAGCTGACCTGGTGAGGGGGGCGTGGGCAGCCTGAGCGCTTCTGTCTGTGGAGCTTCTGCCAGAGGCCCTGTGTTTGGGCGGCCCAGGCAGGGAGGGGCAGGGTGCCCTTCACCCTCAGGCTGTATGTAATTCATTGTTTGCAAAACATGTTCTATTCAATTAAAGTTTAATGTTCTGAACTCCCCCTTTATTCACTTAGCTGTATCCTGAACACCTGTCCCTGTCACTCCCTGCCTGTCATTCCCAGCGGCATTTCACTGCCCGAGTGTGCTCACTGGTGCATCACACCTTGCTGAGGGACACCCCTGTGGTTTCCCACGGCTCCGTCTTATAAGCAGCCCCATGAAGGCGCCTCTGTCTTCTGCCCTTTACCTATTACTGTGTTGTGGGAACTGTGCCAGGGGCCAATGCACATCTCCTGCAGCACGTGACCCCCTGTTATGTGGGTGACTTTGACACTCCGGACTGTTGCCTCCAGAAATAGGCCCTTGATCCTCGCCTCCCCCGCTATGCTGGCTGACATGGGTGCTGAGCAGCTGGTGTGGTGCAGCAGGGAACAAAGTCAAGTTCCTGCCTTCGGGCTCACGAGGAGTGCGGGGTACTCATGGGTAGCTGCTAGTCGGGTGGTGTGAAGTGAGGGGCTGCAGAAAACCCAGGATTTGTGGGAGCTCCCCAGGGGCGTCACCACTGAAAGCACCTGTGCTCAGCCGCCAGAGCTCAGGGGTCCCTTTTGCCCCCACTCTGCAGACCCCGGACTCCGCATCCCACCTTCGCCAAACTGCGTGTCCGAGCAGCAGTGATACAGCGTCCGCTCCGATGCCTTCGCTCAGTCCACTTCCCCAAACGCACGAATGTTTCTGTTTTAAAATCGTTCTTTATTTTGAAACAATGGCAAAATCAGAAAACCAGCAGATGAAACACGCAGACCTTTTCCCTTGGAGCGTAAGTTATGGGCCTGGTGCCTTCGAACACCTCTGTGTGTTTCCTTCAGGTGCGGAACGCGACAAACCCCCAGGGAGACCATCGACGTCAGGAGGTCAGTACTGACGCTTTACTGCCTTCGAATCGCCAGACCCCGTTCACATTTAATCACGTCTCCCGATAACGCCCTAAACTGTGAAAGAACCCATCCCGTACCACGCGCACATGCCTCCGTGACTCGTGACGCCTGGGACAGTCCCTGCATCCCTGGACATTCATGACCTGAATATTTTTGAAGATTACGAGCCAGTTATCCTGTAGAATGTCCCCCAGAGTGGCCATGTGTGATGTTTCCTTGCAGCTCAGGATATGCATTTTTGGAAGGAATGTTCCGTAAGTGAGGCTGGGTCCTTACGTCATGTGGCACATGATTTTGGTTGTTCCATTATTGATGATATTCAATTTGATAGGTGATCAGGGTGTCGTCAGCCAAACTTCTGCCCCATAGAGTTACTCTTTTTCTCTTTGTGGAAGTATTTTGTGGGGTAGTGCTTTCAAATATGCATAGGTACAAGGGGTTGGGACATCAACACAGGAATTGGGGTGGAGCACAATCTAACCCAAGTCAGTGTCCCTACCTCTGCTGGTTACTTCTACCTCCCTGCTGGCCCAGGCACTGTGGTTCCCCCCGACCCTCAACTTACCGGGTGCCTCAGGCCAATGACCCTGAGCCTCTTCTGGATTCATGGCTGGCCCTGGGGTCATCTGCTGGGTGAAGGCTGGGATGAGACTTTGTGGTCGAAGGTGCTAAAGTTTTGAAGGCAAATCAATGGAAGCCCACCCCTTCGGGCTTCCATGTTGCCTGTGACCTGCACAGGAAGAAGCTCTGACACCCCAGGCCCCCAAAGGCACAGGCCCCTCCTTGCTCAGACAGGCATCCTCCTGCCCCTGTTACGCCTGTGGGCCCTTGAGATTTTTGGGGAGCCTCAGCAGAGCTCAGTTCTGACCAAGTACAAAAATACTAGTGTGAATCCACTTCCTGGATCCGAGCCCCGGGCAGCCCCAGGCTGGGATATTCATAACAGCATCTGTGTGACTCGTGTGGCATCGTGGGACCTGGGCCACCTGCATCACCAAACAAGCGCCCTCCACAGCTGGGACAGCTCTCCTGTGAGTCCAGGGGCAGGGCTCGTCTGACTGTAAAGCCCCTTAGAGGCAGGTCGTCGGCGAGTCAGGACACGGCACTACCGAAGCCTCACAGAGTCGCTGTGAGTTCACCTGAGCAAGACGTCTGCACACCATGGTGCTCAGGAGACGCGAGTCTCCTCTCCCCGAGATGCGACATCCCCGGAAACCACGTGCCGAGAGCCAGTTCACAGCAGAGCCAGGTTCCGAGGGCCCATGAGCCCTGGCGAGGGCGTCGCCCATCGCCGGGCTTCTGTGAAGGAGTCGGGGAGCGGGCGGCCTGGGCCAGTGGTTGTGACACTCTGGTGGGTTGAGGAGGTGAGTGGAGAGCGTGGCGGGAGCACAGGTGTCCAAAGGGCGGCTGACCGGGCCCCAGGTGGCGGCTGCGAGGCAAGGGCCTGGAGGGCCAGACGGAAGGAAGAGGGCTCGCCCTGTCCGGGAACCGGGGACGCCGTGGGATGGCTTTTTCTTCTCTGTTATTCAATGAGGTAAAATACGCACAATATAAAATTAGCCATTTTAAAGCCATTTTAAAGTAGCCAATTTAGTGACAGTACCTGCATAACGTTGTGTGACCATCACCTCTATTTAGCCGCAAAACATTTCGTCTCTCCAGAGGGAAACCCCCTGCCTGTTAATGGCCACTCCCCATCGGCCCACCCTCTGACCCTGGCAACCGCTGAGGACTTAGCGATTCTGGACCTTTCGTAGATGGAATCATATAACACGCTGACGTTTGTGTCCAGTGTGTCCTCTTAGTAGAATGTTTTCACGGCTCATGTTATTGAGTCAGTGCCTCCACCCTTTACACGGCTGAACGTTACTCCGGTGTGTGCAGCACCATGTTTTGTTAATAGTTTATCTGTTCATCTTTTGGGTGGCATTTGGGTTGTTTCCACCTTTTTGCTATTGTGAGCAGTGCTGCTGAGAACATTCACGTACAAGTTTTTGAATCACTCGGTTCCAATTCTCGTGTATTTCTAGGAATGGAATTGCAGGGTTTATGTTAATTTTATGTTTAGCTTTTCGAGGAATTGCCAAACTTTTCCACAGCGGATGCGGCGTTTTCCATTCACGTCATTGATGTCTTGACTCTCCACGTGCTCACCAGCTCTGGTTAGTGTCTATTTTTTGATAGTAGCCTTTGTAGTGGTTGTGAAGGGTTAGCTCATTGTGGTTTTGATTTGCATTTTCCTGATCACTAGTGACCTTTTTATAGGCTATCTGTGTCTATTTTTTAATTGAGTTTTTTGTTCTTTTGTTGTTTAGTGGTAAGAGTTCTTTATATGTTCTGGATACTAAACCCTTATCAGATACATGAATTGAAATATTTTTTACCATTCTGTAGGTTATCTTTTCCTTTTTTGATAGTATCCTTTGATGCACCAAAATTTTAAATTCTAATGAAGTCCAATTTATTTATTTATTTTTGTTGTTGCCTGTGCTTTTTGTGATATAGGCAAGAAATCAGAGCCAGATCCAACGCCAGTAAGCATATGAAAGACGGGGAGGAGGCAGAGAAATTGGAACTCGCATGTGTTGCCGATGAGAATGAGCAGTGACGGTGGTGATGGTGGCGCAGTGATGTGACGGTACTTAATGCCACTGAACTGTGCACTTAAAAATGGTTAAAATTATAGATTTCTGTAAGGTATATTCACCACACACAAAAAAATCTTCCTCAGAACCTGTCCAGTGGGAGAAGTGGCCTTCTTCCACTCTGGTGCTACAGACCCCAGCGCTTCACGCACACCAAACATGACCTCCCCGAGCAGAGGGAGTCTGCTTCCGCCTGGCCCATTCGTACCTCTGTCCAACCCCCAACTTCAGTGTCCGAGTCCCCGCAGACCACGCTCGGCCCCACTCTGTCTGCCGACTCTGTAATGTTTTCCGTGATGCCACTAATTGGGGTGGCACACACACCGTGCAGTCCATTCAGACTGGCTTCTTTCCCTTAGCGCCAGGCACTGCAGAGTCACCCATGTCTCTGACTTGGTCCCTACTTCTTGTGGAGGAGTCGTCCATTGCCTGGATGAACTCTGCTTGTTACTCATTCACGTACTGAAAGGTATCCTGATTCTTTAAAGTGTTTGGTCCTTATGAAGAGAGATGCTATATGTAATTGCTTGCTGTTTATTTCTTGGACATAAGTTTTCATAGCAGTTGGCCAAATACCCAGGAATGAGATTGTTGACATATATAGTTGACATGTTTAGCTTTGGAAAACTGCCGAACGGTCTTCCAAGGTGGCTGTACCAGTATACATTCCACCAGCAATGAATGAAAGGTTGTGTTGCTATCGCCATTTAAAAAAAAAAAAGATTTTAGCCACTTTAATAGACATGTAGTGCTATTTCACTTCTGTTTTAATTTGCTTTTCCCTATGACAAATGGTGTGAAATTTTATGTTGGATGCTTATTTGTCATTGTATATTTTCTTTGAGAAGTTACTCAGATCTTCATTCATTTTTAATTAAGTTTTCTTCTTGTTGAATTTTGGAGTTTGTATATTCTTCATAGAAGTCTTTGGTCAGATGTGGTTTCCTAGTGTTTTCTCCCAGTCTGTGGCTTGTCTTTATGTTCTCTTAGCAGAGTCCTTCACAGGGCAGACATTTTAAATTTTAATAAAGCCAACATCGGCAACTTTTTTCTTCCATGGACTGGCTTTGGTGTTTTATTGAAAAACTCGTCACTAAACCCGTCACGTAGATTTTCTGTTGTGTTTTCTTCTATACTTTTTATAGTTTTGCATTTGAATATTTATGTCTGTGGATTATTTTCAGTGAATTTTTGTGTAAGGTGCAGTGTTTATGTCTACATTCATTTTGTTCCCTATGGTTTCCAATTGTTGCATTGCCTTTGAGGAACATACTTTCTCTATTGAATTGCCTTAGTCCCTTTCACAAATCGCTTTACTATATTTACATGGTGCTATTTTGTGCTTTTTTTCTGTTCCCTCTATCGAGTCCTTCTCCTGTATCACGCTCTC